TTGACAGTCTTATGGAAAACCCACTACTATTATGGACTATTGGACTATATTTGGCTATTTTGCTGAATTCGTGTACCTACAGTATTTAAATGACAATGGAATGCCCTTCTCTAACAAAACTAACCAAAAAACGGGGATACGAATGAACGACCATTTTGTATCTGTATACTCAAAATAGTTAGGATAGATACACAGCTCCATTCTCTTAATTCAATGAATAGAGAGATTTGTTCTAATAGTGTTTGAGACAGGATATCATGTCTGCATCTTATACTATGAATAACCACTAAAACAACAATATGCAATGTATTAATTATTGAAAATGTACTAGTAATCGGTTGTGAAACTGTGTCATTGCTACCTGTTTCTCAATAAAAATATATATTTTTTAAAGTTACATTTCATGTTATATAGGTCTTGCTTTATCTTGGTCTTAACCATCCAGCAGAAAAGTATAAAAACGAGGTATAAAAAGTAAAGCCATGCTAATATGCTGAGCTGTGATAGGCTCAAGTCAACAACTTCTGACACTTCTGACACTATCCCAAAGTCTTGTGGATAACCCACTACTATTACAGACTCCTGGATTATATTGGATTACTCTGCTGAATTCATGCACTGACAATATATGAATGGCAATGGAGTAGACATCTCTAACAAAAGTAAACAAAAAGGGGATATAAATGGACCATTTTGTAGTGGAAAAAATATATATCTGTATATACAAAATAGCATAAATATGCAGCTGCTTTCTCTTAGTTCAGCGAGAAGGTTTTGAACGAACAGTGTTGCAACAAGATATCATGTCTGCATCTTGTACTAGGAACAACTACTACAAAGACAATAATATGCAATGTATTAATTATTGTGACTGTACTACTAACCTGTTTTGACACTATCTCATTGCTACTTTCTCAATAAAATTATTAAAATATAAAAAGTTATAAGATCTTAAAAATAAACAAAAATTTCTAAATAAAGCTTAAGCATTAACTGATCCTTTCAACAGAAAAAAAAAAAAAAAAAAAAAAAAGATGAAGTCACTCAGCTGGAATTTGACCTGACAACTTCAGGGTGGCCTAGAGCACTAGATGTCAGAGGCGGACATCTGAGCTCAGTCTTTATTCTAGGGCTGAGCTACCGGCACAGTGCTGGAAAGATCCCTAATGGTCTGTGCTGCAAATCCCTCTCTCCCTCTCCTACCTGCCGTCCTCATGATAGGAAACTGTCATTTTAAGCAATGTAGCCATTAGCACACGCAGGCAGTCAGCAAAGCCAGGAGTTACTAGACTTAGGGGACACAAGTTTGGCTTTAATGTTGGGTGACACCAGTCACTCAGCCTCTCTAGTCCATTTTGTTTACGTTTTTTTCCACATACAGAGGTGCTAGTTTTCTCTTTGTTCATTGTAAATCTTAGATAAGGAGGATAAAACACATTTACAGATCTTTATGTCCAAATAAAATTGTTACTGTCATATTTTGGTACGAGTTTAAGGATGGCACACATTTCCAAAAGGATCTGTACACCACATCAACGTGAGCATATTTAACAGGTGTGCTTTTAAAAATTATTCACAACTGAACATTGGCTTATTAAGGGCTGAGAAGCTGTCCTCTAGGACCAAGTTTATGTTTGTTTAGCCTATCATTTTCTCCACTTCTTGAACATAGAATATGCTGTATTGTGGGATATCAAGCACAAGAAGCACAAAACAAACTGCTCCTTCCCCACATCCTTCTCCCATGATGCAATGGAAGCAACTCCAAAAGAAAACACCAAGTAGCAAGAACACTCCCCCCATGCACCCATTGGCTTATTCTTTGCCATGTCCACGTTTTCTGGAAAACAACTGTGAGAGTAAGGTTTACAAATTCTAAAGGAAAAGACACATAGATATAATCAATCCTGGATATGAGTGCTATCGGTTGTTCTCATTGGGCATTTGTGATTTCCATTGGCTGAACTCTAGGTAATTTCTGGTATCATATGAAAATAATAAAGAAAAGCACTTTCTCATTCATTTGCAGGCACAGATCCATTAACACAATGATTGTTCTTTTCACATGGTACCAAAAGTTCACTTCATTATTTCAAATGGCTCTTCCCAGCATCACCTCCTGTGACTTTAAAAGCTGCCATTAATTTCCCATTAGTAAACTTTAATTAAAATGAATATGTATCATTGCTTTTAGCAGTTGCATTTGAAATAGGAGTATAAATACATGCAAATCTTACACACAGTGTTTCCAATGGCTTATTTCTGAAGAAGCAAACGCTTTGATGTTATTTCAAAGATTTCGTCAACAGAAAGCTTTGAGAATCAAGACCTTCCCAGAAATAACTAGAATTCCATGGAAATTCAATGAGTTACCAACCTACTGAAAAATCTATTTTATTGATCCCAGAAAGTAGCATGTTAAAACATGAATAATGACCTCTGAGCTTTGGACCATCAATACCTTGTGGTTCTACAACATTTATACACAATATATTAAAGAGGAAAGCTAAAATCAGGGGTATACTTGTAGTATTTTGAGCACTCATGGGGGCTTGTGTCCACTATGCTTAATACAACAATTGGAGGTGAGTCACATTTTACCCCTTACTATTAAACATACATTTACTTCCCCCAAGTTTTATTCAAATTTTCAACACTCAGAGAAACAGGAACATATTACAATGCAGCTGAGTGTAAAATTTCATAAGTTTTCTAATCCTGTTTGATTTTTTACTGGGGCAAAGTGTTCACTTAAATGTGCTTTATCAAAAGAAAGAATCAGGAGTCTAGCACAAAGTTTCCACCAGGTTACCCTTGCATCCCCGAATATCCCAGAATCAAAAAATACTTAGATCAGATGACAATTCACACTTCCATACTAAACACATCATCCTGAAAATGTCTGAAAAACACCTGATAGTGTTTCCAATCTTTTGCTATCAAAATAAACTTCAAACCCTCTAAGGAAAACACTATAAAAATGCTTAACCCAGAAGGAACCCCGTGCGCCTCCCAGGGCTAGGTGGGGCTGTGCGTAGGCATGACTGCCGGGTTTTCTTGCTTCATTCCTCCTTCCATCAGTAGCTTTTCTGTCAGACCTATTGACCCAATGACCACAGTCTCACTCAGATGTTTTTAGGCCCTTGTCTTTTCTTAATCACTTCTCACTTTCTGCATATGATTTTCAGAGAAAATTAAGTGCCGTTTTCACTGGGGGAAAATGCCTAGGAAATGCAGTTCTAACAACTTCAGTTCACTGAATGGGTTACCAATTTTTCACATGCATTCTTCTTTGATTAATAACTGAGATACATGCGCATGGCTAACATATATAGAAACATTAAAGGTGATTAAAAGGAACGTCCAAATCATACATAAACTTTGAAAAAGTTAATAAATGGGATGGTGATCTTCATTTACCAAATTATTAGATTAAAAATGCTAATGATCTGCATCGTAGCCAATAAATACTTTCAGTATTAAAGCATGCCAATTCTTCATCAGGCCTGAAGAAGGGCACTGAGCTGCAAGCCTTCCCAGTGGTCAGGGATGGGAAATAGAGCTACCCATCAAGTGACATTTCAGAGTCCCGTGGAACCTGAAACACTGAAGTTTCCAGCATTCATGTGGCTGCATATCATACGCCACCCCAGAAAGCATGATGTGCTTTAAAGCAAAAATTTTCAGTCTGTAAAGTCAGTTATTGACAATGTTTATTCTGCCATATACAAGCATGGGCCCCAGGAAAGGGGGTCAACCATGCCACTTGTTTTTTTCAAGGAAAATAACTAAAAGCAGTCTGTGCTTCTGGTCCACACATGCTCTGAGCTGTTTTCCGTTTGGGATACTTCAGCACAGGTGATGATTTATAATGTCACTTATCACAAAACAACTATGAACAAAAAAATTAAAAAGAACATTGTTATAGCACAGCATAGTACTATAGTGTCCACTTCCTAAGTTTTTCACATATTACTTATTCTAAGTATTTACTGTCATTTTAAATCCAAACAACTCTTTAATTTGTTGGTATCTATATGCCACCACAATACAGTGTTTGTAAATGTAAAGCGCTGCTTTCAAAAGCATCTAAAACACATAAAAGTCAGAAGAACATATTCTTGAACACTTCATTCTATCATATCCCTGAGTCTATGCCGTGCATGTTCCAGTTACGGTTTCCCACTGCCCAACAAGTGTAAACCTGTATTCCAGTTGGTATGCGGAAATGATACCTTCATAAAACTAAGAACACTTGGAAAAAGGGTGGCATGCTGTGTAAACTTTAATTGTACTCGGCATCTTCATTGGCTGCTTGGCTACTTGTCATCTGATCTACCAAGTATGCTCAGTTATGAGAAAGTAGATGTGGAGGTATTGCAGGAAGATAAGATGCTATACCATATAAGTAAGACTGAGACCCTAAGACGTACCTGTTCGGATTCAGATACATATATGTGAATAACAGATTTTCCTGTATGCATATATCACAAGTCAAATTCCTACTTAGTACTTCTCTAGCTATGACAGTTAAAATGTGGGTACTTTCGAGCATAGACGACTCACATCTAACTCTAATTAGTCTTCCGCCCCCCGAACAAAAGGTAGCATCAAAATTAAAACATGTATTTCGTATTAAAAACAATAAAAAGGATTTTTAGAAAGTGGCATGTGAACCCTTTCCTACTCACTGAAACTGTATCACTAAAAGTGGGATTCGGGTGTAGCCTGTACACCCGAATGAGAGAAGCTTATGAGGCAAAGTAGGAAGACCAGATAAGGTGAGAGAAACACTTCTCAGCTCCCTACCATCCTAAAAGAGATCCCAAAAGACACTTTTTAAATGCAAGCCCCCCCCCCCAAAAAAAAAAAACTGAAGAAAAAAAAGCGTGACTAGGGCTACTTCCACGGCAACCTTAAACGATTTTCGTGCAAAAGCAAGCAGTGGGAATGTAATAGCAGCAGCAAATCTCCCTCGTTCCCCACCCCGGATACGGTACCTCCAGATCTGCCCGAGCTGCAAGATGTGGATGAGGGACTGCAGGAGCCAGATGCAGAAGGAGCAGGTCGCAGACCTGTGTTTGCTGCCGGCCCGGGTGGCCTCGCCGCCGTTGGTGGCCGCGATGTTGCTCTTGCTGGCGTTAGACGCTTGCCTCTGCGGGGTGGCGGGGCGAGCCTCGCCTTCCCCGGCGGCCGCCCCTCCGCCGACCACAGCCTTGCAATCGGCTCCCGGCTGCGGGCAGCTGGAGGCGGCGGTCGTGGCGCTGTCATCGGTGCTGAAATCGTGCACGAACCAGCGGAAGCTGAACACTTGCACGGAGAGCGAGCCCAGCACCACGAAGAAGAGCGTGAGCCCGAACCACCAGCGCTGGTCGCGCAGGTAGTAGTCCACGGCGAGCCAGATGTCCGTGCCCACGTCCGCGAAGTACACGGCCACGGCGGCCAGGATCCAGAGGCAGTCCCACAGCGAGTAGCGCCGCGGCTCCCCGCCCAGGCGCAGGCACAGCGCCGCCGAGCCCGCCCCGCCGCCGCCGCC